AGCAGACAAGGTATACATTTATAATCACAATTCAAAGCATACATTTACAGGTGAAAAAAGTTGTTTCTAGCCTAAAAAATATGAACATTGATTACACAATAAAACACTATAAAAACTGCCAACCATTTCTATCAAAATAAGGTTTTAAATGTATGTCTACAATGGGTCTTACATAGACTTGGGAATTCAGGGTGGAATTATTCCTGAGTAGTCGGATAATCTAGGACACATGGTGTCACATTAGCAACATATACAGGACTCTCAGATATTGAGAGAGTCAGCTAGTGCTAGAACTCTGAGCTAGGTACTGCACAAACACAATCATTGACCTGGAGTACAATGTGTTGTGAGCAATTACATTTCATTCCATTAATGGGGATCTTAAAGTCCAAATGTCATTCTGTTTGTGTGTCCCCGGACAGAGGCTGTCACATCATCGTCTCATGTGCTGTTCTGTATCACATCGCCACTGCTGGGGTCAGAAGATACGTTGCAGCAACAGTCTTTATTCAATTCGTTATTACAGAGACGGTCTCGGCCTGCGATGAGACCAGAGCAGTTGTCTACTGTAGTTCTGCAGGCTGCTCTTATGTCTTCCTGTTCCTGTGCAGATGAAGGGAGAGAAGCAGATTAGTTCTATTCTCGATTTTCTGTTTCCGGTCAACATCTTGGGCGTCCAGCCAAGACGGCTGTAAGACCCCTGTCGCCTTGGTGATATCAGACGTCAACCTACTGTACATGCGTGAAAACGATGGTCTTCACAACCGTGCCAGTCTTGTGAGGGCGTTACAAGGCCATGACCACAAAAAATTCCTAACAGCACCCTAAGGATGAGGGATTCCCTCTTCACTCCACCTGTTCCCTGTGATGAGCTTCTCCCATTCATTTGGGTCAGCAAGCTGATTCAGCCAACAGGACAGAGACAGCACAGCTGAACAGCTTTCTAGTCAAACGGTCACCTGTTTCTTAGGATTTTCTTTTTCTAATTGTATCTGGGTTAAATTTGTCTTCCAGTAATATTAAGGTCTTATTTTACCTGGCTTGAGACTTTCTGAAAAATGTGGAGGGAACATACCTACTGGTCGATTTACGTGAAAAAATGTTGGGGAAAAACACACTAATCAGAATCAGAATCACTTCCCTTCGCCAGTTTGTGTACGGTACAGGGATTTTTTCTTGGTACGTTGGGAACTTGCCCAACACAAAACCCACACGGCAAACATTCTTAATTGTGCTGATGATTCCCCTCTCTCCACACTTCTTCAGCTCACAATCCTGGTTGTTGGCTATAAAAATAGATAGGTTTATTCCATGCTGAAAAAAAAGAAGAACGAAAACACAACGTTTTGGCCGTGGAGCCTTCTTCAGGACGTCTTCACCACACCTGAAGAGCCACACACCCCTTTGGATGATATTCTTGTATTTTGCTGTCCAGGTCCTCCCATTTTTATCCAACTACGTGCATCACATTCTGCTGAGTAAAACAATGTTGTACAACTACACAATCAAATAGGGACTCCACATACAAAGTCCAGAGACATGCTGGTAGGTTAGTGGGTTTCTGGGGAAACTGGCCCTGGTGTGTGCGTGCGCGCTCTGTGATAGACCGGAAGTTCTGCCCCGGGTGTATCCTGCCTGCACCCCACGCTGCAGCCCTGAACTGGAAGTTATCAAGTTAATTCAATGTGGCTAATTTGAGAGAATCTCCAAGTAACCAGCTTCACGAAACCCCCCCTGTTTTACAGCAACGTGTACAAACAATACACGGACACTACAGGGCAGCGTTGGTTAGTAAAATTAGCTGAAATTAAAAACAGAACAAAAATATTGGGGATGATATTGCATCAATTGAAAATAATTTTAAAAAAAGCTTAGTAATCTTGGTAGCCATTTGTTGTTTTTTTTCAGCTGATTACATTTTCCAGTTGACTCATAAAAGCACATCAGGTTATATTGACAGATTTTGGTTTAAAAGAATTATCAACATAAAACATAAATCTTCTCAGGAACAAATTTCTTAGCCTCTTGAGGAAGACCTTAATGTTTGGTTTAGAAGTAAAGAAGTAAATTCAAGTAAGGAGATGCGTCAGTCTGCAAAGGAACAAGTAAAGGTTTATTCCCTGCTGGTAAGAGGAGAAAAGAAGCAACGTTTTGAGTGTGGAATCTTATTCAGGTGTAAATTCTGTGACACCTCACAGACTGGAAGCTCACAGATGAAAAGCACAGCCGGCCTCTGTGTCTGTGTTGAGGTTTAAGTGTAGTAATGGGGCTGAGCCTCGTTCTATGAAACTGACTGAAACTGTTCTATGAAACTGCAGGAAACTGACACTTTCACTGACTGTGACTATGTAAATTGCCAGGTGTCGCAGTCTGATGTCCTCTTGCTTCCTCCTTTGTTTCCTTTCTGGCACTCTATTCGGGCGTGGGCCCCATTCCCAGCTCCTGACGCTCCTCTCCCAAGGTGTGAGAATTCACAGCAGCAGTGTGTCTCAGCAGCAGTGTGGGGTGCAGTGAGGTTCAGTTCAGTCTGTGTGAAGAGAGAGGGGTGGGGTATCCAGGGCCTTAGCAAGAGCAGGCAAGCTGACAAGGGAGGGTGATTCTTGTACAGCCTGGGCAGACCTGGGAGAGAACACTTCTCTTTTCTTGCTTTGCTTTTCCTGGGGAAAGGTTCTCCCTCTGAGCAGACCTCAGTTGAGCAGTGCGGGACGATCAAGAGGCAGAGTCGTTCTGGAGACTGGAGTGGGCTGTGAGGTCAGCCTGGTTTCTGCGCTGAAGTTAAAGATTACGTTGTGATCGCTCCTCTCTCTCTCTCTCTGCTACGCGCTTTTGTGTGGTGTCTGTCTCCTGTTAACATGCGGGCTCTTCTCTTCAGTGTCATCATCTGTAGAAGTGCATGTTTTATTAGTGAGAACATGTTTGTGCACACAGTTTTTGTTAAATTCTCAAGAAATCACTTTTGTGCTGTTGGAAATAAATCGTGTTGCCTTCCCCTCCTGTCTCTGACAGCAGGCTGTTCGTCCTGCTGCAGCAGCGCGTGGGACCCCAGACTATCAGTTTAGAGCAGGGGTCGGCAAACCTTTTAGAGCAAGGGCCACTAAAGATTTTTACTCACCTTGCTTGGGCCACCTGAGTGAAATCCTCTATCTAGCTGATAAACTCAGCGACTGCAATAGGTCGCGTTTCTCTGGGCACATCTCCTCCGCGACCTCTTGCACACACTGCTGAATAAACCCCCCGTCCGTGAAGGCTCACCAGCTGCTGCTAGAAGCTGTGATACTCGATACATAGCTATGGGAGCCTTTTTATATTGTATTCTTTAATCACGGTGATTGTTTCCTGATGGATAAGACACATGATCTTTTCTTCCTGATCCAAGTATTAAAAATCCTCAGAGACATCGACACAATCAGTCCAGCTGATTTCTGTAGAACTGGTAGAAGACACAAGTGGAAAGTCTAGGGACGTGCATCTAAAATTGAGGACCGTTCTGCACTTCCTTACACAAAGGGTTGTGGGAGTCTGGAACAAGTTACACAGACATGTTGTGGTTGTTGTTGAAGCCGATACCGTGGTTCCTTTCAAGAAACAGCTGGATGAGATCCTTGCATTGATAAGATATCTGCCAAGTGTGCTGGATGGCGAAAGGGGGCTTCTCTTGTTTGTTACTGTTGTTAGGTTGAAATTAGAGGGATTTCCAAAATTAGTCACTATTGCTTCTACCTCCAGGCAATAAGAATGCTAAATAGCCAACCTGCAGCTCCTTTAGCAAATCACCCGTAATGGCTACATGGACACACAGTTTCCATAGCATTCGGCACACTGCACTACTGGGACATAATGTATTACATAGACCCTGGACACATAGCAGCTCTTTTCATATTGAGCTCTGTCTGAGCTTATTTTATTCAACTTCTATTGCATTATCTATTATGATGTAACCTTATTTGGTGATTTTATCCCCCCCACCCAGTGAGCTTGCAGAAAAGACATTTCATTGCCAGCAACTACTGCTGCACGCCGTATTGTTGTGCATTTGATCAATAAATTGATTATGATTTGAACAGAATTGAAGCCAGATGTTTCGGCACTGTTAGAGAGCATCGAGTACTCCTGCCCTGGTCGATTTGCCGGAGTGACACTGAGGGGAATTCTTTCATGGTCAGATTGGCAGGGGATACCGAGAGACAGAGATATTCAACCGGCTTTTCCTGTTAAAAACACAATCCAGGTAGATGCCCTTACAGAAAGTGCAGTAAGGAGGCGAGAAAGTTAACGAGCCCTGGCTCAGGCGCCAGTCTGGGGCATCGTGCTAGGCGGCGGGGGGCGGGACTGTGATGCTCGCAGCCGGCCCACCAAAAGCACTTCGGGCTGGTTTGAAAGCGGAATGGGAGAGGGCTGAGCGCGTGTGATGAGAGAGGGGGATACTCTGCTCTTCCGTCGTGCTGCGCTTTCCAAACAAACAGGCATGAGGGAAGGTTTCGGCGGAGCGTAGAGTTTGCATGTCGCAGGTAAGCCGATTTCGAAGAACACTACTTCCTTTCTGGTTTTATTGCAAGTCTCGGTCCACACGTAGGAGGCGCGGGTAGTCGTTTTCGTCAGTGCAATGCTACGAGCAGATTGCTACTCCGGGTTTCAGAAAATCATAGCGCCCCGCGGAATTTGTTTCAAGATGGAATTGTTTGAACTTTTCTTTTACCGTTGAGGGATGCAGCAGGCACGTCAATGATTCTGTCGCTCTTCTGCGTCTGTTCGCGGGCGTTAAAAAGCTGTTTTTGCGTGTTTCTGTGCGCTTTCATTTTGTGCTTTCTGGAGAAGAGGAGTTAGCTCAGCTGTTGTGCGCCGTGGAGAGAGGAAAGGGGAAGGACTGAGAGATCATTGTTTTTAATTAAAAAGATGTAAAGAAACAGCATTCGTTTTTCATTAAAGTGAACTGCAAGACTGCAAAGCAGAGAATTGTTCCTGCGGCTGGATGTCCTTTATACAGGTTTGCGCACATTTTTTAAACGACCGCGTTTTCCATATTTATCTGGATCTAGACCAATTATTGTTTACTGATGACTGTAGCTTCTTGTTTCTACTTTTTGCTGCTATCGCGAAGTGTTTCGGGACAGTTTCTGCGTGAGAGACGCTAAATAAGAACTGCTGTTACTGTCGGGAAACGGGCACTACGGTATTTGGAAAACGCTCGTTCCGAAATACCCAGCCAGGACTGGACTGTGTTTCTTCTCGTGTCTTATTCATGTCTCACGCGGTTGTGGAGTCCAGTGGGTTATATTTGTCAGTGTGTTTGAGGATACTCGGATTCGACGAGCGTTATTGGCATGAACGATGAAAAGCGATGGCAATTGGTTCAGATATTTACAGACAATGACGCTGTGTGCCGGGACATCGCATACTGAACTCCAGCTCTGCTCAGCCTCCTCTCCCCTCCCGCAGATGCACTGGAAGCAGTGGAATTAGAGTCATTTCAGAGAATGGAGAACGCTGGTCTGGGTGGCGCAGGGGTCGTGGGTCCAGCTCCTGGGGGTGCTCTCTGCGTGGTGTAATTGTGTGTCGTTTCTTCCCACAGTCCAAAGGCATGCTGGTAGGTCAGTTGGCTTCTGGGCGTCCGTGTGTTTTTATTTTTTGTGCCCCTAGGGTTGAGGTAGTTTGCTTTCCCCTGTGCTGTGAGTGGGTTGACCGCTCGGTGGTGTTGTAGCAGGGCTGTCCTGAGGCTGGTTGGAGTGAGTGTGCCTCAGGGCAGCTTTGAGTTTCTGTACCAGCTAGCTGAGGGGGGCACATAAGCGTGCAGGGACTTCCACGCTTCACAGGAAGCCTTCATCTACAGATTAGGGACACTCAGTTCCATGTTCAATAGCAATTTGTTTGCAGGGAGGCTGATGTTTGCAGAAGAGCCTCATTCTTCTGCTGAAGGAAGGTCCGAACTCCCAGGTGGACTTCAAACTGTGCGCTGGTTGTGTGGTTTGGGAGTGACGACAACGTGCAATTACTGACTGACACCTGAAAGACTTCCCTTAGGTCAAATTCTGCGTGATTGTGGCTCCGTATCCTTTAGCTCGGGCTGCCTTGCTCCACGCTGAATATAACGGGAAGACCTCGGGAGCAGAGCAGTTCGCTTTGAAAGCCGGCCAGGCAGAGAAACTCCCGAGTCTGAGCGCGGAGGTCATATCAGCCCCCCGACATCAGGAAACAGTGCAGTGACGTGGAGAAGAATATTTCCAGATAAAGCTTTATGGTAAAGACGACCGAAGGGCGAAGTGAAAAGGCGTCCCGTTAGCTTGGGAGTTCTAAATGTTTTTTTTTTCTTACAACACAACTAAATTAAGCCGTTTCCCCACCAAAATATATCGTTTTACACAACGGTCATTGTTCACGGCGCTCTCTGAAATTCAAATTCTCTTCCGACTTGTTTGTGTTTTCGAGATTATCTTCCTCCTGCGGAGAGAGAGTGACATTTCAGCTGATGCGCTTTTGAGTGGAAAAGAGTGAAAGTCGGAAACCGACCCAGGTCTAAGTTCCATTACGAACTGAAAGCTAAATTTAAAACGCCCTCTGAAAAAAAAAAAAACAAGAAGTCCGTGATTTAGACGTCGGCAAAAATCTAAACCTCAAGAGACAGATGACACTCTGGATCGGGTACTACCTCACGCCTTTAACCGCAGTTTTACAGTTCGTTGTTTTTAACGCAATTGATAGACCCTGGGTATCTGCCCTCGGGTCTAAAGGAACCCGAGAGGTAAATAGGGCTGGCTTGTTCATATTTGTCTTTAGGCCGAATGATAACATTTATTTCGATTTTATTAAATATTTTATTGTAAAATATGATACTGAGACTTAGGAGGTGACTCTAAAAAAATAATTTTCACTGAAACATATCAAGGACATGGGTTTTAAATCCGCGTTAACAGACCAAGCTAAGAATCTTTCACAAAAAAAATCTTCCGTGGCGCTGTGTTGTATGACCGTTTGAAAACATCTATTCAATCCGGAGAGAACAATGGCTCTATAGGGCCCCCTAGTGTTTTTATATTGTAACCAAGGGAATAATCATCTTGACCCCAATCCTACCTGCCCACATCCTCAGCGCCCAGTGGTTTGATGATCACGACACTCGTGTTCTCTATCGTACTCAGGCACCAGATCAGAGCCCAGCTGGGTGGTTCTGGGATAGTCTGAGTGGTTCTGGGAGAGTGTTTACCCCCTCCACCAGCCCGGAGTGAGTTGGTGGACTTTCTTGTTGCAGCTTGGTGCCTCTCATCTCCTGCAGAATCCCAGTGGGAGGTGGCCTCTGTGCCCCCAGTACATACAGGGCGTACTGGCTGTATGTGGTGGCCCACATGTGCTATGTGTGGGTGATCTGGTTTGGACTGGTGTACCCCGCCTCGCGCCTGTTGCTGGTGTGACCGTCGCAGTTCCGCGCGGGCTCAGGCCCACCGCCATCCCGTTCCGTCCCACAGCACCTGGGGCGCGAACCCGGGTCTCCGGCGTAACGCCACAGGGAACCAGACGCATGAGCTAAAGGAGACCTCCCCGAGCTCAGGCGGCTGAGGTCCCTGCTACGCGCAGGGAGGGCGATGACGTCACTGTGTCCGAACCAGCTCCGCTACACTGGCTGGGTTATACTCCAGATGCCCCGCGACTTGTGTTGGATGCAATGGTTAGAAAATGGATGGATGTACAAAATCCAGCACGGGACATGGATAAGAGCATTGATAATAAAGCTCTCTGTATAACTGGAATCTTATAAGTTGATTTATTTGGTTAACAGTAGATGATAAAACCAGCAGCACACAGCGGCCATTCTGCACCGGCAGCCCCACTGCACTGCAGACATAGTGCTTCACTGATCCATTAAGGGGGAGCTTAACTGACCTCAAGTCAGACTGTAGCAGAAATTAGCCAACGGGTTTGTCGTTCCTACTCTCTCGGAGTGCTGCCATGGGATCTTCATTGACTGAGTAGCCTGGGCTCTTTACATTAATGTCTCGTCTGAAGGATGACATGAGCCCCTGCGGTGCAGGGTGCTCGCTCACCGTGCTGGAGCACTGACATGGGTCCGCCTACAGGCCCGCCAGCACCCCCTGCAGTGCCTGTGCTTTCCCTAGAGATCCCAGTACAGGTCGTGCTCGGCCTCGGAGATCCGAAAAGATCCGGTTTCAGGGTGGCACCACTACGACATGCATTCGCTTCCAGTTAGTGAGGACCTGTTGTATTGTGCGTGGTTTTCAGGTTCCTCCAGTTGTTCAGATATGGATGTAATGTGTCTGTACATGACCGGGGAACACTTACTGCATCAAAATCTGAAATTGCCTTAATTTACCCCAGGTGTCGTTCTTAAGTTAACTCTTAGGCTGACTGCGCTGTTTGTCACTAGCCTTGCAAGAGGAGAGCGTTAGGCAGTTCAGGTTAAGACATCCCATTTTTTACTGGGTATTTTTGTCGGGCAGAGTACAGTGATGCAGTGTTAAAAATAGCGTGGTGCCCAGGTTGGCTCCAAGGCAAGAGCACACTGGTGCCTACAAAACACAACTGCTTATGATAATCTTCCTTCAGCTCTCGCATTTCCCCCGGATGTTGGTTTTATCAGGTAAGGGGGCTTCAACACGTGCGTTAAATTTCCTGCTAATTAGAAGCTCGACTGTTCAACTGTCCAAGTGGGTTTTCTCTGCTGCTGGAGGAGCATTTGGCTTGTGGTAGTGAGTAAAGAGAACCGGAACTGCACGTTGTCATTAACGCCTGGTCGAGAAAAGATTAATTTCTAGTTGTTAGTTTGCTAACGTGCGTGGGTTGAAGCCACAAGCTTCAAAGGAAGGTCTCGCATGGATAAGAAGAGAGAATGGAGCCTTTTTAGTAATATGCGCCCTTGTGAGACCTGGTTAATGGACAGGAAATAGAAGTTGCAGATAAGAGGTGATTTCTTTAACGAGAAGATGAAGAGGATGATGCTGTTCCTTCTTCTCTTGTCTTCTCTGTGTCTCTCCTCCCCCCCTCAATTCTGCCTTTTCTTTCTTCTGTGTTTAAGCTGTAAGTTTATCATGAAGTTAATCAACTGGAGTAGAAGCCCTCTTTGATTGACTGCCTGAGGATAACACCTCAAAGGAAGCTTATTGTTTTAGGGCTTGGGGCTGCACTCAGAATTTAAATGGCAAACATAGCTGAACTCTGAAGCCCAGCCAGAACAATACAGATACATTTACATCCTGTCGACCAGTGGATTCCACGGGACGTCCACAGGGGTTCTGTGAGCACTCGCATTGGCTACAAGAAAAATAAAAATTTGCTATCAATAAAAGATGTGAGTTACGATGGCTTTACATGGCTCTATGAAGTCAGAAACATTAGGCATATCTTGTGAATCATCATCATCATCATCATCTTAAAATTCACTCTCTGAATACATTAATGTACTTCCGCTGCTAGAACCAGAAGGTACCTCGAAGGTGTTTCCTCTTCCATCTGCTTGTTTGGAGATAAAACTGTTTGCCATTTCGCCATCCGGCAAATCTCCAAAACTCTCGCCATGAGAGAAAATAGCATGTTACTAGGTAGAAAGATCACTACGAAATTACTGCAACCACGAGAGGAGAAGAAAAAGAAAAAGAAAAATGTGAAAAACAAAAAAAAACTTCAAGACTTCATGTCACAAGAATATAATAATAATAATAATAATAATAATTGCATACACTTATTTGGTGCTTTTCTGGACACTCCACTCAAAGCTCTTTGCAGGTAATGGGGATCCCCTCCACCTCCACCAGTGTGCAGCCTCACCTGGATGATGCACCAGTACACTCCCCACACACCAGCTCTCAGTGGGAAAAGAGCAGAGTGATGGAGCCAGTTCAGAGACAGGGGTTATTAGGAGGCCATGATTGATCAGGGCGAAAGGGAAATTTGTCCTGGACGCCGGGGCTACACCCCTACTCTTTTGGAGAAATATGAAATACGGATATCCAGTATTATCAGAGAAAGCTCTTTCTGTTCTTCATGCCTATCTGTGTGAAACCGGATTTTCGTCATAAGTGTCCACGAAAACGAAGTATCGCAACACATTGGATGCAGAGTTGAACATGAGACTGCAACTCACATCCACGACTCCAAATGTTTTAAAAAATGTAGATGTAAGAGGCAAACTCACTCATCAAACTGAGATTGTTCTGTTTCTGCTGGTTTGAAGTCAATGTTGATGAAAATGTATCCGTAAATGTTTCTTTCACAAGATGAGACCTTGCATTGATAAGATATTTACCGCATGCTGGATGGGATGGTTCTCTTGTTTATAACTGTTCCCAGGTTGGTTAGGGGAACTTTCTACTTAAAAGTGACTAGTATCGGAACAAAATGGAGAGTAGAAATTTCAACAGTAGAGTAGAAGTTTTGGGGGTTTTCTTATCTGTTTAAGTATATATCTCTATCAGGTATAGGCAAGAGAAAACAAGTTCAGGTGAAAAAGTCCCCAACTGCATTGATGCAGTTAGTGGGGCTTTTTAAACTTCCTTTTGTGATCCTCCAGGCAGTTTGTCACTCCTGTTTGTTGGTGAAGGCAAATTGTCTTCTTGTTGGTTTAGAGAGCAGCACCACCTG